GGGGTGTCTATACTGAGCTACTAAGACCACCTCCCCCCTGAACTGTACAGGGCCGTGCAACCAATGTCCATATACAAACACAGGCCTGTAAAGAACCCACACAGGGCTCTCCGGCAGTATTGCCATGTTCAGTGTGTGGGCAAGGGGCGGCAGCGCTGCCTGTATAGTACAGCCTCCCCAACCGGCATCTCTTACATAGTAGGCCGTCCGGCACCCGCCTGTCAGCACAGGACTACACGCACCTCTCGTCGGAACCCCCGTTCGCCCTCCCCACTGTGCCGGTTGCCCTGGGTTCTCACCTCGCGGGACGGAGGAGACTCGCGGGCGGCGGAGATACAGAAAAAGAGAGCGAGCGCGGGCTGATGACGTCACACCCACCCCTCCGACCAATAGGATGACGAGCGTGGGGGCGTAGCCCGGCGCCCTTAGCCAGGGATTTTAAACTTGGCTACGCCCACTTCCTGCCACCGGACCACGTGACGGTGGAGAGTTGGAGGCCCGCGGCGCCATCTTGGTTAGGGCGGAAGAGCATCCTATGAATATTTAATGTGTAAACATAAAAATATAAGGACATGTTTTCACACAGAGCTTCGTCTACATAGGAGATTGCATATTTTGGGAATTCCGAATACATGACACAATATATACGTGCAATGGCTGAAATTCGAAGCTACGTTTACATGGGCGGTTGTGTGATTGAAACGCGGAGAAATTGATGTGGGAAGTATATTATACCATTTAAAATCACTACATGCATTTATATGGGTTTAGAATTGTCCTGTAAGTGCATGCATGTCACTTCCTGTGTGGATGGGGCCAGGGCCTAAGCCATGTCTGTTTTGTGAGTAGGGTTGCCAATACTGGCCGGGCTGGTATAAATGAGAGTTGTTGCCTACAATATTATTATTAATTAGGGATGTGCATGGGTTTGGCACGAATCAAGTCCCAGCTGAGCCTGTGCAAAGTTGTCAGTGACGCATCCCCTTCCCATCCCTCCCTGCCCTTAGCTGCGGCCTGGCCATTCCCGGCCTCTTTGTTATGTGTAGCTGCGAGGCAGCAAATGCCCCGGCCCCAGCTGACTGGGCCAAGAGGGGGTGTGGGTGTCGTTGCCAGTTCCGCACGGGCTCTCATCAGGCCCACGCACATCCCTATCACTGATTCATCCCCCGATGAATCCTTGGAAAGCCCTGTTCAATAAAGAACATACCATTGCTGAAACACGCCTGCTCCAGTGGCGTAACTATAGCCATAGCAGTCCAGGCAGCTTCACTGGGCCCTGGGGGTGGAAGGGGCCCCATTAGGTTGATTAGACAAATTAAACATAGAACATGATAAGATAACACAGTACTGTATCATTGAGGGTTGGAGTGGCTGGTGACAACCCTAATCCTCTGTAAAGTCCACAGTGTAGGAAAGCTGATGCATAAGAGGAGCCTTTGGGATCTTTGTGTCATTAGCCACAGCTCAGAGAGAGGACGTCAGGGGAGCCCCCCATCACATTTTTGCTAGGGGGCCCCATGATCTGTAGTTACGCCCATGACCTGCTAACTAATGTTTTTACGGCAGCTAAACAATTAATGAAGCATGGACAATCAAAAAAATCCCATCTGTATCAATGTGTGTACTGAGGAAATCATACTACCATCCGATCGGACAAGATGTTGAAATTTTTCAAAATTTGGATCACACACACTACCTGCTAATGGGAGAAGTGAAGCCTGACATAGTGTACGTGCACCTTTTGGGTAACATCTGCAACCCTATTCCCGGGCCTACATATCCTGGACCTATATATTCCACTCTTGGACCTACATATTCCACTCCTGGGCCTACATATCCTGATCCTGGACCTACATATTCCACTCCTGGGCCTACATATCCCGATCCTGGGCCTACATATCCCGATCCTGGGCCTACATATCCCGAACTAGGGCCTACATAGTCCATACAGGGCCTACATAGTCCAATCCTGGACCTACATGTTCCAATACCGGCCTACATATTCCAATCCCGGCCTACATATTCCAATCCCGGGCCTACATATTCCAATCCCGGGCCTACATATTCCAATCCCGGGCCTACATATTCCAATCCCGGGCCTCCAAATTCCAATCCCGGGCCTACATATTCCAATCCCGGGCCTACATATTCCAATCCCGGGCCTACATATTCCAATACCAGACCTACATATCCCAATCCAGGGCCTTCATATCCCAATCCTGGGCCTTCATGTCCCAATCTTGGGCATACATATCCCAATCCCGGGCCTGCATATCCCAATCCTGGACCTACATATTCCAATCTTGGACCTACATATTCCAATACTGGGCCTGCGTATTCCAATCTCTTGCCTACATATCCCAATACCGGACCTACATATTCCAATACCAGACCTACATATCCCAATCCCGGGCCTTCATATCCCAATCCCGGGCCTTCATATCCCAATCCTGGGCCTACATATCCCAATCCCGGGCCTGCATATCCCAATCCTGGGCCTACATATCCCAATCCTGGGCCTACATATCCCAATCCCGGGCCTGCATATCCCAATCCCGGGCCTTCATATCCCAATCCAGAGTCTACATAGCCCAATCCCGTGCCTACATATCCAAATCCCGGGCCTACATATCCCAATCCTGGGCTTACATATCCCAATCCCGGGCTTACATTTCTTCTCTTTTCCATCCCTCCATTCTTTTTTCTTTGTTCCCTCTCTCCTTCTCGGTTTTCCTTCCCCAAGCTTAAAACCTTATTACTTATTTGACATTTCAATGCTTACAGTTTTTAAACCTCAAGTCCTCTGATACCTTGTGGGGAATTTATCAAAACTGGAACGGGCAGAATCTGGAGCAGTTGCCCGTGGCAACCAATCAGCTGCTGTCTTTAGTTTGTTCAGTTAAGCTTTGAAAATGAAAGAGAGAAGCTGTTTGGTTGCCATGGGCAACTGCTCCTGGTTTTGTCTGCTCCAGTTTTGATCAATTCCCCTTCTAATGATTTATCTGTCGCTGGAGGCTGGCACCCAAACCCGATACCCCATCCCAGCCTGTACCCCATTTATCCTTTCCCCTTTCTTTTCCCTTTACGCCCTTGTTCACACCTAGGCGTTTTGTCACTCAAAGCTAAGCACAACAAACACTCCCATTCATTTCTATGGCCCCTGTTCACACCTAAGAGTTTTGTAGCATTCACCTGTCGCTGCAAAAAGTACATGAGCAACTTTTCGGCAGATTGCAGAGCTTTTTGCTCCCATAGACTTCAATAGGACATTTTGTGTGACAGAAAGCTCAGGTGTGAGCAGGGGCCAGAGAAATGAATGGGATCCCTCGTCTTCCATGTTTTGTCGCACTCAAGACTAGCGATTGGGATTCCTTGTCTTGAGCAGTTTCTCGTGCTTACCTTTTAGTTACAAAGCGCCGAGGTGTAAATGGAGCATTAGTGTTTTCTCCATTACTTTCTTAAAGTGCAACTGAAGCCAAAGTATCTCTGTCAGTCTTGTATTGAGTGGAGAGGGATTAGACCCCCTGTCAGGTTTTCATTGTTGTCTGTGTCCCCGTTAGGGGGATTCATCCTCTCTATCTGTCCTGGTGAACATTGTCACTGACTGTGAAAGAAAATCCCAAATTTTGGATGTCACCAGAATAGGAATAGATGGGAAATCTTCCAACGGGGACACTAGTTCTGACCACTGGGAGGGATTTAATCTCACTTCCTGTTGTGTTTATCGGACAGGAAGTGAAGGAAATTCTCTCCAATGGGTCACAAGTGGCAAAAAAAGGTGACAGGGGTTGTAACCTTCCCTTCCAAAACTACATTAAAAAAAACAACTTATAAAATGTAAGATGTAATATCACATAATAAATGTCTACTTTGAAGGAAAACTATGAGGTAAGTGCTTTTCACCCATCCTCATAGTTCTAGCCGACCTGTGACAATGAGACTGTCACAGGTCGGCTCAGTAGATCGGGAGGTGAGCGAACACATACCGGCGTTCGCTCACCTCTCGATCCTGTCACGGCTCTCTGACGTGACAGGGGAGGGGCTGGATTCCCCGATCCGCCAGCGCTGACTGGCGGAACGGACGGGGGCGGGTACAGCTGGCTCTGCCTCTAGATAGGCAGAGCCAGCTGTCACTCACGCAGCTGTGCGGATCTCGACATCGATGTCGGGATCCGCTCCGGCTGCGGCGTCTTAATATATGAGTATACTGAGCTTAGGGTAACGGGAGGACGCTAGTTTGTGTCCTCCCGTTACCCTAAGGAGAACTATGGGGAAAAGCCCTAACCCATAGTTCTCCTTTAAGTGATATTAAATCCTACATTTTTATAAGTTATTAAGTATTTCAGATGTCTTTGGAATAATTTTGTTACTCCTGCTTGTATACCCTTTTTCTTTCCACACAGGATGAGCTTGTCCCTGGGCGCTGGTCCTGATCTCTGCCCTTAGGGTGTCTCCTTTGCCTTCTAGGGCCCCATGGAGCCACCCGTGTGTGTGTGTGTGCGCTCCTGGCTGTCACTACGGATGAGCCTTCTTGCTTCCATAGACTGTGAGTGATTGGCAGCAGTTGGAGCCTGTGTGGTCCCCATTGCACTGCGCATGCAAAGTCCTTAGGGCATGCAATCCACTACATGGGAGTTCAGGGAAGCAGCGCTGTGGACCTGGAGCTGGGGGCGGTGAACGGCAGGGTATATTGTTTTTTGGGGGGGCGCACGCAGAGAAAAAAATTTACTTTGTCAGGTTTCATTTGTCGCCTGGAATGCATTTACCTAAAAAATTGTTGGACCTAGAAGAAGAAGGAGAGAGGGAACAAAGGAAAAAGAATGGAGGGAAGGAAAAGTGCTTAATTCTACTTAAAAGAGAACTATAGGGTCAGGGCTTTTCCCCATAGTTCTCCTAAGGGTCACGGGAGGACATAAACCCAAAGCTCAGTATATCGTGAGCTACAGCTCGCGATATACTGAGACTGCCGCAGCCGGGACGGATCCCCACATTACTGTCTGGATTCACCCAGCTGCATGAGTGACAGCTGGCTCTGCCTATCTAGAGGCAGAGCCAGCTGTACCCTCCCCCTCCCCCATGCATTCCTCCAGTCAGCGCTGGAGGAGCGGGGAGGGTGGGAATCCCTGCAGGGAGCCGTGAGTGACAGTCACCACTCTCTGCAGGGACCGAATCGAGAAGTGAGCGAGCGACGGTATGCGTTCGCTCACTTCCCGATCTATTGAGCCGACAGTTTCATTGTCACAGGTCAGCTCGAAATATGAGGCTGAGTGATTTTCACTCACCTCATAGTTCTCCTTTAAGTCTTCCACCTTCTGCTTTCCTGTGCACACAGTTTGCTGCTATTGTATATGCCACCTTCATGTTCTACATACCAGGGGTGGGCAACCTCGACCCTCCGACTGATGTGCAACTACAAGTCCCATGAGGCATTGCAAGACCCTGACAGCCACAGAGGCTTCATGGAATTTGTAGTTTCAGCATAACTGAGGTTGCCTACCCCTGTTCTATACCAGTGCTGCTGGTAACATGTGCACGTTCCTGTGTTCTTTTAATCCAAAACAATAATAATGAAAACCGCCATTGCGGCCGCGTTGTCTGCAACCCTGGCATGATGTATTCTTTTATTTAAAGTCTTATTAACTCTAAAACTCTTCAATAATGAATCCAGATCAAAGAAATATACATCAGCCCAACAAAGTGTTTCTTTACCTGTTGCCCAAGCACTTACAATCATCTTGTTTCCAAACAGCTCCAACACTCTCCGCTCGGCTTCCCTGAACTTCCTGTCCAGTACAAGATCACAAGGGACAGAGCAGACTACAGCAGATGTCCATGGGGGATGGGTGGGGGATCAGGGAGAAGGGGAAAGCTTGCCTTGCTGTGTCTGTGTGTTTATGGGGACACACACACAGCTTACTAGCACACACAAGGGTGGCCCCATTGAACTCTGCATGGGAAAGGAGCAACCCTAAAACAGGATATCAGGCTCAGGGGACCAGCTGATTCTGCAGGAAACTAAAACTGTTAAAAATCAAGGAGCAGCATCCATTGTAAGTGATTTCATCAGCATTTGAAAAGGCCTAATAACCTTTTGACTTTAATATCACTTGAAGCCCGTACTGTATCACATGACATTACATTAGCAATCTCTTTGTATGTGAAAGGTACAGACAAAAGAAATGTAAATTCTCCTCTTGGATTGCCATTGAAAAGGAACACAGAGCTGGCAATCTTTGACCGAAACCCATCTGCCTCCCATCAGCCCAGTAAGTGTCAGCACCCGGCCTGTACACAGTAGGGATTAAACAAGGCTTATGGAGCCAGCGCTGGGGATCAGTACACCCCCCCACCCCCTCTCCTACAGCCAGCAGCAGGAAAGCTTCACATGACCTGAAAAGCCAAAGTAGAAGCTGCTTTAGAAAGCAAGTCTTTTGTAACGCCATTGCTACTCAGCAGGTGCATTAGAGTTCATGTTAAAAGTGCTTTATACAGCACCTGTGTATATACATATATACGTGTCCACTATATTGCCAAAAGTATTGGGATGCCGGCCTTTACACGCACATGAACTTTAATGGCATCCCAGTCTTAGTCCGTAGGGCTCAGTATTGGGTTGGCTCCGCCCTTTGCCGCTATAACAGCTTCAACTCTTCTGGGAAGGCGTCCACAAGGTTTAGGAGTGTGTCTTTGGGAATGTTGGACCATTTGTGAGGTCAGGTACTGATGATGGATGAGAAGTCCGGGCTCGCAGTCTCCACCTAATTCATCCCAAAGGTGTTCTTTCGAGTTGAGGTCCGGACTCTGTGCAGGCCAGTCAGGTTTCTCCACCCCAAACTCCCCCATCCATGTCTTTATGGACCTTGCTTTGTGCACTGGTGCGCAGTCATGTTGGAACAGGAAGGGGCCATCCCCAAACTGTCCCCACAAAGTTGGGAGCATGAAATTGTCCAAAATGTCTTGGTATGCTGATGCCTTAAGAGTTCCCTTCACTGAAACTAAGGGGCCAAGCCCAACCCCTGAAAAACAACCCCACACCATAATCCCCCCTCCACCAAACTTTACACTTGGCACAATGCAGTCAGGCAAGTACCGTTCTCCTGGCAACCGCCAAACCCAGACACGTCCATCGGATTGCCAGACAGAGAAGCGTGATTGGTCACTCCAGAGCACACGTCTCCCCTTCTCTAGAGTCCAGTGGCGGCGCGCTTTACACCACGGCATCCCACGCTTTGCATTGCACTTGGTGATGTAAGGCTTGGATGCAGCTGCTCGGCCATGGAAACCCATTCCATGAAGCTCTCTATGCACTGTTGTTGTGCCAATCTGAAGGCCACACGAAGTTTGGAGGTCTGTAGCTATTGACTCTGCAGACAGTTGGCGACTTCTGCGCACTGTGCGATTCAGCATGCGCTGATCCCGCTCTGTCATTTTACGCCAAAAACATAATTTCAGAGGCCGGTGAGCTTGTCATCAGTGGGTTGGACCTGGCTTTGACAGAACAGTGTGGCAATGTTCTGGAAGGGTCCTGCTGGGGAGCTGATGGCCTTAGGAAGTCCCCCCTCCTTGGAGATTTCCACTCCTACCTGAGAATCAGGATTATGTGCAGGGCTGTAAGTTCAGTCCATCAGTGTCCTGATGAAGGGGAGATTCCTGACCCCCAAAATGTGTAGGCAGTGCATATCTTCTCGTAGCCATTTTTGAAGCCATGAAAGGTTTCTGTGGACTCTTGAGACGTTTTAGTCTTCATTCATGTCGATTTCTCATTCTGGGTATCCCCTGCCTTTGGAGGGGACCCCTGCTTTGTGAAGAGCTGCTGGGAACCAAACCATCAGGCCCTAATATTGGTTATTAGAGAAGGCCGTGGGCCTGGTTTGAGGCTGTGGGCCTGGCTTGAGGCTCCATGGCTAGAGCCTGGGCCTATAGGATACCATACCTCTATGTGAGCAGACTGTGTTCCTTGGGGGCCATGTGGACCTAAGAAGACTTTCTGTTACAGTTTTCACAGGAACAGAGATACATCCAAAGCTCTTGTTTTGTGGCTGATGTGCACTAGAAGAAGTTCTGTCTGATGCTTCTGGATGCTGTGATCAACCCAATGACTTTGAGCCAACACGCTGTAGGGACCCCATTGTGAGTTTTGGGTATTCCACCTCCTCTGTCCTCCTGTTCTACTTTCTACCAAGTTCAAGTAGAGCTTTCAAAAATATTTTACGCATTGGCCTACTTTCCTTTAAGGGCTTGTAAATGTGATCTCTCATGGGGACTAGGAATGTCTTATGGAGGCATTCCTCTTGTGTCCACAAGTTCCCTTGAGGTGGTCGCATTATAGTGCTAAGAACATCAGAACATTAAACGTAAGAACTCCCACTTAGCAGAGGCTCAAGGTCCCATTACCAGGGGAGTCCCTTGCTTTCTTGCCGCCTGAGGCAGCGGGAAAGGTGCTGCATTCCACTGAGCTCCTGGCAACCAATGTCATCTCTGGTTGCTAGGAGCTGTGTGGGAAGTCGGCAAGAGCATCCCAGGTTGCTAAGAGCTGGGCGGAGAGATGTGTTTGGCCCTCACACATCTCCCAGCCGGGCTCTTAGCAACCTGGGATGCTCTGCCAAGCCACTCTGCCTACCGCCCTATCACAAGATGCCACCTAAGGCAACAGCCTCATTGTAGGTACAGCCCTACAACCTGGAATTCTCTGCCATGCCACTCTGCCTACTGCCCTCCCACAAGATGCCATAGCAACAGCCTCATTATAAGGAGGGGCGAGGGCCCTACAACCTGGGATGCTCTGCCATGCCATTCTGCCTACCGCCCTCCCACAAGATGCCACCCAAGGCAACGGCCTCATTATAGGGACAACCTTGCCTGTTACCAAGGTGCTGCTAAACTGTTGGCATGTATTGGCTGCAAGGTAGGGGTCATCTCACATAACCCACCCCCCCATGAAACCACAAAATACACTTAAGCATTCATTAATTTATCATTAGTAATGACAAAGATATTGCTGAACAACTAAACTCATAGAGGAAGTATAAAAAGTGCCAATGGGAAATCCCAAGCTTGAGGGCTCGTTTAGAGCAGCGGGCAATCTTTATGGTGCACATGTGCAATGCAACGTTTTTTTCTTTGTTTAATGCACACATAATTTAACTCTTGCGATGCGCTGACGTGCGTCGTAATACATTTACAGAAAATGCGGCCCATCTACATCCTTCCTGAGAGCACACCAACGCCATGCTTCTGTATGAACTGGGCAGTGGGCTCATAGACAGCAATATTATTTGCCGTGTCCCTGCATTAAGCCTTGCGTCGATCAGCTGAGCGCACTAGGTGAGCCCCACAACATACTGGGGTGTTTTCTTTCACCCCTACTTTTATGTTTTCTAAATGAGCAATGGAAGAATCTGAGTCATGAAAGTTATCTCGCAGTTAAATAGTTTTATTTTATACAGCTCTATAGAAGTACACGGGCATTCGATGCAAGAACAGAACAAAAGGGAGCGATGCAGCGCAGTGAAATGATGCGCTCCAGCGGTGATACAATGTAGCAAAGTCACTTCCGGGCACCACGTGACGATGATCGCGCAATTCTCGCACAGGGAGCCGTGTCACGTGACGAGGACGCGCAGGCCGGAGCATGCTGGGAGTTGTAGTTCCTAGCGCAGCGACTTTCGGGAAGGAGGCAGAGTAAACAGCCCCGAGCTGGAGGGGCAACCGCGGGGCGACAGCTGGATCCCCGGCATTGGGGGATGGGGAACTGCCTGTCATCCCAGTCCTCTGATGACCTGTCCCTGCTCAATGACTCTGATGGGGCCGGGGAGCCCCCGCCGCCTTACCAGGTGACCGAGTACAATGTATATAGTATATATACCCCTATATACTGCTGTATGTATACACCCCCTATATACTGCTACCTGCTGTATGTATACACCCCTATATACTGTATGCATATCACCCCTATATACTGTATGTATACACACCCCTATATACTGCTACCTGCTGTATGTACACACCCCTATATACTGTATGTATACACACCCCTATACACACCCCTATATACCGCTACCTGCTGTATGTACACACACCCCTATATACAGTTACCTGCTGTATGTAAACACACCCCATATATACCGCTACCTGCTGTATGTATACACACTCCTCTATACTGCTGGATGAGCTGTTGAATCGCTTCTAGGAGGGAACAGGATGAGCTGAGCTGCTGGTAGGGGGGAGCAGGGTAACCATAACGATTAAGTCCGTTTGGGAGAAGGGAGCCGCTCAGGATGACTTGAAGGACTTAAGAGCTTGTGTTGTGATCTTTGAGGATGAATGACTCCACAGTGCATGCACCTCCTGAGGTCAGTGAGGTCTTGTTGTTTTTTTGGGGGGGGTTTAAAGACAATTTACTCCTAGATAAAATATAACAATGATTTGTTTTAGATTGTAAGCCCTCACGGGCAGGGCGCTCCTTACCATCTTGTCTTAAATTGTATTACCTCTTGTGGCAGAATAAGTGTACTGCTTGCTGTAGAGGATATTCCACCATCTTGTCCTGATGTCATTGTCGTTCTTGATTTCAGGAACGGGAGTCGGTGCCGGTTTACCATCCAACACCCAGCCAGACCCGTCTAGCCACGCAGCTGACCGAGGAGGAGCAAGTGTGGATCGCTCAGAGGATGGGCCTCATTCAGCATTTACCGAGAGGCCTCTACAACCCAGGATCTGAGCTCTCCGAGAAGAAGCTGAAAGAGTCAGTGACGGGATCGCACTTTATCAATTTCTTATAGATAATTGCCGGCTTTTTATTCTTCGTATACCTTCCTTTTCCTCCCCATAGTGGCCATTTTTTTTAAATAAGGGTAGATGACTATATCTCCCTTTTACTTCCTGTAGCCCCGCCTCCTGGAACATGTGACAGTGCACGTTGCCAGGCAACTAAAGGTTTCAGATGGAGGAGTGGCGGCCTCCTGTACTTCCCTAGTGACAGGAGGACTTTAACCCACGATGGACAAATCCCTGAAGCCAGGTTGCCAGTGTTCCTTAAAAATAAGAGCCGGCGCCTAACTTTTGAGGTTTTCTCTGGTTGTTGTCAATGGGGCTCCTAAAAATATCCTGGTGGCTTCGGGGTTGGACAGACTGGCTCCATATTGATTCGTCCACCCCTGCTCTAGCCATCTACACAGCCCAATTGTTCTCGGCCATGCTAAGAGTAGTAGCAAACCGCGATCCTGGATGGTTCCTAGACCGGTCCTTTCAGCCTGTCTGCTCCTCGGTGTCCTTACGTTCTACATACTGTAGAGGCTCCGGGGACCAGTCTAGGCGCCAGCTGGGATTGAGATTCAGGGGAGTATAACTTTAGCCACCTCCCCCCCCTAGACAAAACAAGCCCTTAACCCTTGCAGTACACAAAGAGGAGGAACACGGCACGAGGTGTAATACACAAAGGGGAGGAACACGGGCACAAGGTGTAATCCACAAAGGGGAGGAACACGGGCACAAGGTGTAATCCACAAAGGGGAGGAACACGGGCACGAGGTGTAATACGCAAAGAGGAGGAACACGGGCACAAGGTGTAATACACAAAGGGGAGGAACACGGGCACGAGGTGTAATACGCAAAGGGAAGGAACACGGGCACGAGGTGTAATACACAAAGGGGAGGAACACGGGCACAAGGTGTAATACGCAAAGGGAAGGAACACGGGCACGAGGTGTAATACACAAAGGGGAGGGACACGGGCACGAGGTGTAATACACAGAGTCACCACAAGATGACAGCATAACATATTACCGATACCAATACATAACCACTAGTGCACGTGCATTGCCATACAACTGCTGGAAACAGCACGTAAGGAGTGCTAGCTATTCCTGCTTTAGATTTATATGGTGCCACCATTGGTCACGCACCCTACTACACTGTCTTTAGATGATGGTTCAGGACAGGATGTAGAATGTTAGCAGTAAAATCCTGACATGGGGTCACCAACACTTTCTAACTTTATCCAAAAAAAACATAACTAAATGGCTTTGGTGACTCTATTCAAGCAAGGGCTGCGGTCAGTTTAGTGCAAATGAATGCACTCATTGGGCCCCAAGTGAGGGGAAGTCAGTTCTGTATTATGCTAGCGCTTTGTCTTTGCTCAACTCTATGCTGTTAGTGGTACAGTGCACCCATCACACCTTGTAATCTCTTTTCCCATTGTGTCTCTGCAGGTGCGTGATCTGTATGCTGGACTTTGTCACCGGGGATCCCATACGCTTCCTGCCTTGTATGCACATCTACCATATGGAATGTATAGATGACTGGCTTATGCGCTCCTTTACGTGTCCATCATGCATGGAGCCTGTGGATGCTGCACTGCTGTCCTCCTACGAGACAAACTGACCGGGAAGGGGGTCACCCTCCATGCGCTGGCTTCGTGGCTTCTGTCGATCAACTAAAGTACTTTGGGAAGGGCTCGTTGACACCTGCTGGCCATTCCCTTTAGGCGCTGGCGAAAAAACCTATGTAAGAATGGTTTGCTGGTTAGAAATAGATGAAGCTCTGCTGCTGAAAAGTCACATGACTTACCTTTTATCGCAGGTCAGAGGTCACAGGCTGGAAGGAAATACATCAGCGTTTTAAAAACCTGAAATCTCCTCCTTCAGTGAAAACAGCTTGTCGAGAGGAGGAGGAGACTTTGTGTACTACAACTCTCATCTCATTCAGCTCCGCGCTGTGGTCATCACCAATCTAGACACTTCCATGCAAGCTTTATTTGCTCTTCATAACAAGAAGACTTTTTATTCTACAATAACGGGGGTCAAAACGTCTTAATCCAGATACCAAATAGATCCCCGAGCAACTGTAGAGGCTGTGCGCGTGTGAATGAGGGCAAACTGCTGGCCAGTCTGGAGAGACGCACACGTCTCAGGAGGAAGGGATTGAGGGTTTGGGGGAGAAGTTACCACCTGACATGGGTTGGGGTTATCTTGTACCTAGGACATGCAGTAGGGAGCCATAGCTGGGTGTCGCTGTAAGCAGAACAGGATTTTTGAGGTTTAATAGGAGTTCACGCATGACTACAGCTCCCCCCCCCCCAATAAATGTAAGCTGATTTGTAGCCACCAAACTTAAGTCATATTTCTGAGCTCTAGGTATGTTGTGAAGTACATGTATGACCTGTGCAGTACAAGGATTTCAATTTGATATTACTTGTTGTTCTTACTTGACGACCCATGATGAAGTTTTGTGGCTGTTGTGTGTTAATACAGTTTGGCCATTGACATGCCCTCATTTATCATCCACAGGGGCCGGCGTCCAAAAGCCCCGGTGGGTTAATACAGTGCAGCCACTACTATGCCCCTATCTATCATCCACAGGGGTCACTGTGTAGAAGCTCCTGTGGGTTAATACAGTGCAGCCACTGACATGCCCCATCTATCATCCACAGGGGCCGCCGTGTGCAGAAGCTCCTGTGGGTTAATACAGTGCAGCCACTGACATGCCCCATCTATCATCCACAGGGGCCGCCGTGTGCAGAAGCTCCTGTGGGTTAATACAGTGCAGCCACTGACATGCCATCAATGCTTGCTGGGAAACGGTTAGCCTTACATATAACACTTTTCGTTATTGTCTTTCCCCTTTCCCACCGTTCCCCCTTTCTGGGCTCAGAATCCCACGCTGTCATGTTTAAAAAAAAAAAAAATAGTAATCGGTAGCCATATTCTTCTCCCTGCTTCACTGTGGTGGCTCCCCAATGACGTCTGCGCCATAGCTTGTGAATTAGCTGTACGAGATATGCCGTAAATGTGTATACATTGCCAAAGTTACGAGGAAAGAAATTCCCTGAGGTCTCGTAGTTTTGAAACAAGAAGTTACTGGAAGAGTCAGTGTTAACCTTCCTCCTGGTCTCTCAAGGCACTGGGGACATAGCCCTGGCCACACAGAAGCTCACTGGGAATGTCACCAGCGCCTTGAGAGACCGGAAGGAAGATTAAAAAAAAGAAAGGTTAATACTACTTTTTATTGAACATGGGACACGGAGATGTTTTATATCGGCATGCAGAGCTACATGAACGAGGGCATTTTGTGTGTGAGGGGGGGAGGGGAGTAAGGCTGTAACCATGGGGTGACCAGTCTATCTGCATTGCAAGAGTTTTATATATATGCTACAGCTCCGCTTTAAATGTGTAATGAGCTGTTGCTAGCTATCTCTTCCTGTCATGTCCCGATGATGCTGCTGAATTATCAGTTACTCCCAGTGAGAAATATTCCAAGCTTGTTTACAGTTGTGCACCAGGAGGACAAATCCCGACATGCAGGTAGACAGTGTGCTGAAGAAATGACAACTGCTGCCAAACGTTATTGAGAGTTTTATATGGTTGTCAATAGAAAAATCAGTCCACCAGATCTGTAATTGTCGATATAACATTATCGGCAGTATGGCACAGACTGCACGTCCTTCCAAACCCATCAACAGCATCTTGTGCGTGAAAGAAGCCCCTGAAGCTAGGTGCAGTCTGAACGCAGTCCCACGCTAGATATATCGCACTTATTTGGAGTTCCAATTGGGCACCTTCTAGTGCCGACTTTGTGGGGATGCTGTCTAATGTGAGTTGGGTTAAACGTGCCCCATGGCCCTTTCATTGGACAGGGTCACGCCTAAGTCCCACCCACCCCTTTTCTACGGCCATGGCAATCCAGTCTATGGTTCTCTATGGCAGGGGTGCCCATTCGGCTGATCGCAGTCTACCAGTCATTTGCAAAGCTAACGCTAATAGATCGCGTTTGCAAGTCGGCTCCCTGTCCCGCACTGCCTCCCATGGTGCTAGTGCAGCTAAATATGTCGGACGCTGCAGACGGGGAGGGCTGGGACGCCTGTAGCTTCTGACACTTTTGGCCGCATTAGCACCACAGGAGGACAGCGCGCTTGAAGAGACGGGAAGCTAGGTCCTGTACTTCTCCTTTCGTGCCCAGCCCTCCAAATGGCCCTGCTCCATTGCTGGGGAGGGGCAAAAAAAGTGACCGATGGCTGGTAATGGCTTTGATTATCCCAGAAGATGTCCCAAGTAGCATAAGTGGCCCCTTTATTCCATCTTGGTATATTTATTTAGCTGTGCACTCATGATTACCGATAAGCCTGAGTCTGCTGAGCCCCTGACACCTTTCTGGTGGATGCTGGTGGTTGCCTTGCTATCAAAGTGCTGTGTATTACATCAAAGAAAAGGAATTTACACAGCCTGTGGTAGTGCACTGTTATATACAGCAAGGTGAGCCAGGAGAGATAGAGACAGAGCCAGGAGGATGAGCAAGGAGAGACAACCAGAAGAGAGAGGAGGAGAGACAGCCAGGGGAGAGGGGACACAGCCAGGAGAGAGAGGGGACACAGCCAGGAGAGAGAGAGAGGGGACACAGCCAGGAGAGAGGGGACACAGCCAGGAGAAAGCAAGAGAGAGGAGAGACAGCCAGGAGAAAGCGAGAGAGAGGAGAGACAGCCAGGAGAAAGCGAAAGAGAGGAGAGACAGCCAGGGGAGAGGGGACACAGCCAGGAGAGGGGACACAGCCAGGAGAAAGCGAGAGAGGGGACACAGCCAGGAGAGAGAGGGGACACAGCCAGGAGAGAGAGGAGAGACAGGCTGGAGAGAGAGGAGAGACAGCCAGGAGAGAGGGGACACAGTCGGGAGAGAGAGAGGAGAGGCTGCCAGGAGGATGAGCAAGGATGGACTGCCAGTAGAGAGAGGGAGGGAGACCTTGATAGATCTCATTGAGCTCATCATTGGAAAAGTAGACAACACAAAACATTGGGGGCACCCCTGCTCTGTGGACTCGGAAATTTGAACATTGACCCCACATAATATAGAAAAAGCAATGTATAAATGTAATGAATTGTCCGGTGTTACAAATCCATCACAACTGCACTCAAGGGCAAACATCTCACCAGTGGAACCCCAGACACGTTTAGGAAGCTGGTAGGTGGTTAAAGTCCTATACATCAGCACAAATGTGAATTCCTGGTTTTGTGTAAACTTCGATTTTACCCTTTCCATGGAATACCTGAATGTTGTAATTTTCTGCTTTTGATTTAGTTGCCTGGAACACTTCTCCATAATCTAGGTACAGTTATGGAGCCAAGGAACAACTATCCTCACGTTTAGAATGATGACAATGCGTTGTGTTGGTTTAGTGCAATTTTTGAGGGTGCATTAGATTCAAATATGAAGGTTTTTTTTTTTTTTGTTTTTTTTTTAAAGGATGTCTTTTTCTCATTGCACTGCCATGAACTATGTCTGAATATATCGGATACCATACAATTACTGCATTGTCATGCCATCAAATAAACCCACGCTTCTATGCATTTTCTGATCATGGGATTTATTTCTTCCACCCTACTGTATCTATGCACAAATATACACTCACTGGCAGGTTTATTAGGTACACTTCTTCAACTGCTCGTTAAAACCCAATATCTAATCAGCCAATCACATGGCAGTAACTCAATACATTTAGGCTTGGTCAAGATGGTCTGCTGAAGTTCAAACAGAGCATCAGAAAGGGGATTTAAGTGACTTTGAACGTGACATGGTTGTTGGTGCCAGAACTGCTGATCTACTGGGATTTTTAGGCACAACCATCTCTCGGGTTTACAGAGAATGGTCCGAAAAAGAGAAAATATCCAGTGAGCGGCAGTTGTGTGGACGAAAATGCGTTGTTGATGTCAGAGGAGAATGGGCAGACTGGTTCAAGCTGATAGAAAGGCAACAATAACTCAAATAAGCACTCATTACAACCGAGGTATGCAGAATTCCATCTCTGAACACACAACACGTCCAACCTTGAAGCAGATGGGCTACAGCAGCAGAAGACCACACCGGGTGCCACTCCTGTCATCTAAGAACAGGAAACGGAGGCTACAATTCGCACAGACTCATCAAAATTGTAAAATAGAAGATTGGAAAAACGTTGCCTGGTCTGATGAGACTCGATTTTCTGTTGCGACATTCGGATGGTCGGGTCAGAATTTGGTGTAAACAACATGAAAGCATGGATCCATCCTGCCTTGTATCAATGGTTCAGGCTGGTGGAGCTTTGTATCATGGGTGTGCAGCCGACAAATCTGCAGCAACTGTGTGATGCTATCATGTCAGTATGGACCAAACTCTCAGGGATGTTTCCATCACCTTGTTGAATCTACGCCATGAAGAATTAATGTAGTTTTGAAGACAAAAGGGATCCAACCCAGTACTAGCAAAGCGTACCTAATAAAGTGGCCAGTGAGTGTATATTCTGGGATATTGAAAGTGAGAAGTTGACGAGTGAAATGAGAGCATAAGTGCACTTTAAAAGAAAGTGCATTTATACTGCTTTCCTCTTCACCTAGCCTAACCTGCCCTGCCCCTCAACAGATGCAC